CCTGCTCCATGAGCTGGATGAGGCAGGGGTTCTGCGGGACAAACAGCACGGGATTATGCTTGTGTAATTAAAGACTGCCACAACGTGCAAACGCTCAGAGGGGCCAAACTGAAGCTCTGCAAGCCGGCTTAGCAGTGACTGTTTCTAGCTTCTCAGTCCTTGATTTTGCAACCTGTAGTAACAATCTTTCACTGTGCTTCGCATATATAATATTATTATGTCTTTGGTAACCGACCAAAGCAGGCCTGGCATTGTAGAGCTCAGTGGAATCTTATTTAATTGCCTTAGAGACATCACAGATATAGAGCAATACAAAGGTAGAAGAGGAGAAAGACAAAGGAAGTTTCCTCATGTTGCAGAGCACATCTAATGAGGAAGAGGAGACAAAAAAGAAGAAATGAAGAACATTATTGTTGACTGAAAATGCAAACAAAAACCATCTTTGTCTCCCTAAGATCCTAAACTTCAGTGAAGTTTGCCTTCTGATCCCAGTTCCAGCTCTGTGACTCAAGCTTCGCTCTCCAGATCTGCAATCTATCTTCCCATTTATCTCTAACTAGGACAATTTCTGAGTCCTCTATGAGTCATCGGTAGGTTTTATATAGAAACCAAAGAAGGTTCTTCCAGTCTCTCAGTAAGATATTCCGTGCTGCCAGGGAAGCACTTTTGGTTGTTCTGACAAGCAATTGTAACTGCTCTGAATTGCCAAAAATACTGTCTGAAGAGCAAAAGAATCGCTTGCCATCTAAACCCAAAAAGGTTTATGATACAATCTTCATATTGCCTGAGTGCGTTGATCTCACCTTGCAACAGCAGATATTATAGGCTTTGCAAACTGTCCAGATCCCAGTGGGTATAATTTTCAGGCTCGCTAATTCTCTGGGCTTGAGTGATGCTACTCAGGGGCTCTGAGCCAGCTGAGGGGAGGGGGTGGCGTGCTGTACACAGGAAGGGGTCTGAGTCAGGGCTCCCAAAAGCAAGGACCTCCTTCCTTCTGCTGGACACCGCTCCTCGCGAGCCTGCTCCCATCGCTGATGGCCACCTACCTGCAGTTAGGTCCTGTCCTTTCTCAGCTGAGACAGGAGGGACAGGTGGCCCATGCCGGAAGCAGTGGCTGTGGCACAGGAGAAGGGGGGAGATCCTGGTAGAGAGCCCAGAGCTGCAATGTGACAAACAGGAGGCCAGGTATTAACAGGTGGATGAGAAGACGGGCTGGCTGGCTGCACAGGGAAGGGGCTGTTTCAAAAGCAATGCAGCAAGGATCACAGGGAGAGCGTGCATGGCGGGGAGGGCATATTTTGAAGAGGAGGAAGGAGCTGTTTTGGAATTGGGTGCAAAGCCATTTGTTTGGAGGGATGCCAGGGTAACAGTAGGTGCCCAGAACAAACGCATACAGTCGTCCTCGCACCCTGCGCCTGCATGCTTGTCCTTCGCAGTACCTAAGTAGGTCAGCCCGTTTCTTCAACCTTTCCTCTTCCCTTTCACACTTGCTCTCTTTGTGGGAGGTGGTGGTGGCGGTAGCAGAGGGGCTACACCCGTTTTCACTGATTTCCAACACTGTCTACGTGTGAACAAGAGAAGCGGAGAGAAGCTAAAGCTGCTTTCTTATTAACAGCTGGTGACAGTCCCTTTGCACAGTGCATGTCGCATTTCTTAGTCGAGGTAGAAAGGAGCGAAAGAGGAAGGCAGTTATTTAAAGTTTAGCATTACAGATGAATTACAAGGATATTCTGAGGCTCACAGTCCCCCAGCGATTCCACGAGCCCTGAGGCTGGCCTCACCACACCTTTGCGAGTGACTATTTTAGGCAAGTGTGCTCATCGGGTCTGGGAGGACGACTGCTCCAAGTAATTCTGGGATGCAGGTTTTGCACCACAGGATGCCAGCGGGATCCAGTGAAGGTTATGGACCGTCTAGCCTGAACTCCATCTGTGCCCTGAAGTTTCCTCTTGGCTGGGCACTGCTGAAGGACCAGAAGCAGCCAGTAGGAAGCAGTAGGCACAGGGACTCATGGGGACTTTAAGCCATCTGAACGTGGCATGCAGTTTTTAAGACGTTTTTTTAAAACGCTGTGAACATATTGCACCCAATTATAATTGCGCTATGTGCTCCACGCCGTGCTATGAGTGCACAGCTCCTCGCTGCTACAGAGGGGCAAGTGTGACATACATACAACAAGTGTGCCGTTTTCTCCTGTGTATCCTTTCCCATCGTGTTCATCACGATAGGATTTGCATGCCTCCCAGTAGGGCACTGAGCTATGCGGCTAACATCTGCCACGTGCTGTTTTGTTCTGTCCTCCTCTCCCAAGGAAGGAGCTGAGTGTAGTGGAGCATCTTGTTTTAGTAGTGCATTTGGTTGGCTTTTGCTTTTCGTGCATGTGGAGCTGCATATTTATACGAGCAAAAGGGCACAGAAATGTGTCCTGCAGTTGGAAATGCCTTTATTTCAGTAAGAGGAATTATGGCTAATTAAGTCAAATTAAAAAGGGAAGAGAGAGTTGATTTTCTTTATTCTCAGCATACTCCATTTGACAAATGGGTCTTAACCACAGATGACAGTATTAAGCTTCAGCCTCTCAGACAAGGAAATCTTGGCTTCTATTCCCTCTGCCCATTTATCTATGATAAATTTAAAGACACATGTTCCCCCTTCTTGGACAAACATTCTTCAGCTCTTTTTTTAAAAAAAAATCAACAGTAAAATACATCTGGAATCGCTTTATATTTGTCCTTTTTCTCCTTCTTTGAATGAGTAGCCCTCCACAAAGCCCTCTGCAATGCCTCACAAAGCCCTTGGTGGACCTCATCAAAGAGTAACAAAGGCTCTGTTTCATGACAGTTTGGATCTGCACCCGATTTAGTGCCACGGGCACTTCTGAAGCCTGGAAGCCTGGCCTACTTGTACTTCTATTGCTAGGGCTTTATTTTAAATATTTTCACCTTCATGAAGGTGAAACAATCCTTAATAAAGCAAATAATTAGTATTATTAAAACAACAATTCTGGTATTCCACAAGGAACTGAAACACAGACCAACTTTTCAAGACTAAAGAGAAAAACTGTGTTTTATACTAAAACAGAAACGTCATTTCTTGAGCCTAGAATCAATGTCCTATGCATTGGATGCGTGTTTTTTTTCAGCTTTTACAGTTTGATATTCTTTTACTTAAAAGTTGGCTTGTCTTACTATCAGTATGATAACAAAGACATGTCCACATGTTGCTGCTAATAGCAAGTCTATCCATACTTTTTCTATGTACATTTTGGGATCACCTTATTGCAGAGGGTCAGAGTGAGCCTTTCTTTGCTTTAAGCTTAGCAAAACACTTGGTTTCCTATGGTCTCTGCAGACGCCTGTTACAGCCTATCAGTTACAGTCTATCATCCTTTACTTACTGCTTTGGTATTAAGACAAGAAACAAACACAGATTCACAAAAACATTACAGGAAGCAAATAGTACTTTTAATGTTGGATAAGAGCCAGCCTGAAAAAATAAAGCCTGAAACTTCCCTGACCTCCAGCACAACATTCAGAAGCTGGTCAGGATCCAGCTTGCAGAGACTTGGGCTGCATGCGGAGCACATTTGGTAATGCCCTTTCCACATTTCTGAGATATTTGTTGGCATAATCTGTGTCATGTTTCCAAGGTCCAACGTAAAATGTGGCATTTCTGCATGTTCAACACTCCTTACAAGTCTCAATCCCCAGATTCTGTAACAATTTCAGACTCTCGCTGACTGTTCTCTTAATGTTAAGGTGATTTTAGTGAGGGAAAAATACAAGACTAACAAAAATACACTGAAGCATCAGGATAGGAATGATACGCAGTCTATTGTACAGTTCAGAGGTATTTTCTATGTTTCTTCAGGAGTATATCAGGAAGGAAAAAAAGAACACCGCGAAAGCATTCACCACAGACAGAGCCATTTGTGCACGGGGGCCTTCAGGTAGGCTGGGTGCAGCACCAAGAAACTTTTCTCCTTCCCAAGAGATTCCCAGGCACCCACCACCACCCTGCCATGGCTGCAACCTGCCCTCCAAGGGCAAGAAGTAACCCCATGTTTCTGGAGAACTGGCAAACTCTCCCCGTCGCAACCACACTTGTTTGTCTTAAATACAAGTTTTTTCCTTGGGCTGCCACAGATTTTCCACCTTGGTGGCCAACCAACGGCTGGCCAGGGAGGTTCATTAGCGCCCATGACAAACACTGTCTTCCAGTGCCGGCAGGGCCTTGCTCACAGGGGAGGCAGCACCACGCAAAATGCCAAAAAACCCCAGTTGTTTTCCTTGGTTGCCAGGGTAGGAATTAACGTTGTCCCTGGCGGAGCACAAGGACTCCCTGTGATATGAGTAGGGACAATGGGAAAGTATGTTTTTGTGACCCGCTGCAGGAAATCCTGTGCGTCTTGCAGGGGAACACAGCACTTTCCTGCGCTGTCTGTGGCTGAGCCCTGGCTCCAGAGGCCCATAGCAGCCAGGCTCATAGCGACCCATGCCAAACCCTGCTAAATTTTAACAGTCTGTTTTTATCCAGCGAGCTGCCCTGGGCACAGTGGCAATGTTATGCAGCTCTCAGACGGGCCTCGAGGGCAGAGGGGTGACAGAAGCAATCAAAAACAAAGCTGAGCTTCTCAGCCAGTACCTGCAATCCGTTCTATTGATGGCTCTGGGCTGCAGCACTCAGAAACCCCGCCAATACAACTGGGACAGACACATAGAAACTGTCTTGAGTTTGGGGTTGTTTTTTTTTTGAGCGATGTGGTTAATACAGTAACTCAGACAAGACTGTGTTGCACGACTGATTTTGAATAAAAAGCATGAGCTACGTATCCCTGCCTCGCGCCCCAGTGGAAATCACACTGATAATTTAAACACAGCTGTCCTGCTGTGCATTTGTGTCTGTGGCCCTCAAGGATGGTGACATGCTGCAATAGCTGTGGCTGTCTCAGAACAGAAATAATAAGAGAAACATCTGTCTCCCTGTTTCTGCTCCCCTAGTTCCAGTAAGCAGCACTTCTGGGTCCTGCTCTTAACGTGGGATGCGCTCGCAGAGAAACAGGGATACCCAGCTCTTCTTCATCATTTCCCCTGGTTGACACTAAATGGACCACCTACAAGGGGCACTACTGCTGCTGTGGATGAGCCCATTTAAAAAAATAAGAAGAAACAATTCAGAAAGTGACGCATTACTTCTGCCTGCGGACAGAGGGAACAGCTGAAACGTGGGAGTCCAGACTACAGCTGTATGACTACAGCTTCAAAAAATATATATATGCATATTTGAGTGAATAAAAACTACTGATTCCCTCTGCTGGTGTTATAGACCTTATTTACTTACCGAGGTGGTGAAACTTGAAACTGTAGTCACAAGAATATCTGCGAAAGGAAAGATGAGACAACAAGAGAAGCCACTCAAGAGAAGCCACTATCTCTTCAAAACTGGGAAGTGTTGATACCACAGCAGCCCCCCTGCCCGGTCTTCCCTTCAGACCTCATTCTTCCACCCCGTTCCTGTATCTATATTGTCTCCTTTTATCTTTGTCATGACTTAAGGTCCTATCACACTAAGCAGCCTAACTGCCACCGACACTTGCATCCATCAGGGGAATGGGATCATTGCTAGGAAATAAATATTCACCCAGATAAATTACCAGCAAAAGGGCTTCTGCAGCCATTTGGAAAAGCCTCACATTCTAAGACCTGTCAAATGTGGATATTTTCTGAACAGGCAAAAACAAAACAGAAGTAATTTTTTCCTATGGGGGCCAGGCACAAAGACAGTGGCATTAAGGTTAGGTGACACATCCATCAGAGAAAATGATTAACTCCAAACAACCTGTTTACAGCCAAGCCATAGGTAGCATTTTTTAAGTGCTTCTTTTTTTTCTTGTCTTAATTCCTTGCCAAGCAGCTATGAACAGGAGCACGCCCATGAACTTAGTGCACCCTGTGTGCAAAATTCATGCTGAGAGGAGGAGGCTGCATTTATTAGAGAATTCATTTGCAAAAGCTAAAGGGGCTGGCTTTAGCTACACCTTTCCCCTTTCCCTTCAGCTACAGGGAGAGCAACACCTCCTGGAAACATCTGTGCCCGAATTGTGTGATACCTTGCGTTTCCAAAATAACCTCCACTACATGAATGTTGGTGACACTGTCAGACCATGAGGGACAACTCCTTCTCTATATTCTGTCTTCTGGCAACAGTGCAACAGCATGGCTACCACAAGCATAAGCTTACGATTAATCTGTGGATCAGGGATGCACAGCCACCGGCTGCTGGAGAAGGAGAGTATGTGTTAGAAGAACAATGTAAACAGACGTGATATACATGTGCCTCTGGATCTGAATGTAGGAAAATTTTACTCTGCCCCCAGATGGGCTGGCTTCTGGTTCCATGATGAATGCGCAAGGAAATGTGTGGTAGGCTTTAAACATCCTTCACAGCAATTGGAGAATGAGGGTACACAGAAAGCAGGACTTTACTCAGGAATTTCCACTGCCACTGCTTCCTTTGACATGTCAGCATCTAACTATTTACCTCTTTGATGCTTCTTCGTACTGATGCTGAGACTATCCCTGTATCCAGGAGGTGAAGTGTCTCTGACAAGATATGATAGCACAGAGAACATGCCCTCAAGGGTACACAGTCTGGTAGAACTCCACATACAGACAGATTTGGTTGTCTGACTTTTTTCCCCTCAGCTGGTCATTCTTTGTGCATCTTCTGATCTGCTCTCTTTCCGCATCTGTGATTTGTCCCCATCCTCACTGTGTGACTTTACTTGTCCCCACCACCCTTGTCCTCCCTTTCCCCTCTCCGCTCTTCTGTCTTCTTCTGAAGTCCCATTGCCTTCTCCCAGGGTGCTCTCCTGGTGCTTGGAAAATAAGAATAAAAACTGTGATCTCAATGGGAAAAGAAAACAAACAGTTGCAATAAGCAGCCCTTCTTGGGAGAAGCTGACCAATGACTCATTCCCAGGGCATTTAGAACGACAACAGGCATCTTCTCCTGTCTTTGCCATTGCTGCTGTTGTGTTCATTACAGCAATGCTTACCAGCCAGTGGAGAATGTGGCCCCCCCTATGCCTGGTGCTGCATAAATCATTTCTTTAGCCTGGGAAAAGAAGGGAAAAAAAAGCGAGGGGAAAAAAGAAGATGACTGAAGAAGATGAATACGTGATTCAAGGATTTACTACTCAGATTGCTTTGGGGGTCTTTTATTCTTTACCCTTTCCTTTGTTTCTCTCCCAGACTGCCTTTCCTGCTGGCCTAGCCCTTCACCCCACCCCATCACTCTCACTCCTGTCTGGCTGCCCCATCTGATTTACCTTCCGTTTCACTTTGTCCCCTCCTTTGTCCACCCAAATGCTTTTCTTGCTGTTACTCGCTCCCTTTCCTGTGTGGCCTGATCTCCCAGTTGCCTTCTCCATTCTGTGATACTGGGTAGCTTTTCATCACCTTGCTGGTGGAATCAAGAGATGCAAAATATTCAGCGTGAGGTAGACACTGAATGGTTAAAACTTGGCAAAGTTATAGAAAACTGAAAACAGGCTCTCATAGCAGAAAGTGTCAGGTACCACCAGCTCCAGCTAAATTAAATTCTGTCCCTGTAGTGTGTATGCACAGAGACATTTATATTCATATTTTTAACAGCCATCTAAACTCTGCAGTTCACTGACAAACCCTTCATGAAGCTATCATTCCTTTTTTAACACCTGAACTTTAAAATGTCACATACAGCATTTAAAAGGACAGGCAAATAACCAAGGAAACATCCTAGCATGCATTTTGCTTCCTCTCCTTATGGTTTGATCCAAAGTCCATGGAAATCAGTGGCAGTCCTTCTGCCTAGTTCAGCAGGGTCTGCACCCAGTATGTTGGTTCCTTATAAAATTTCAGAAGAAAAAGACCCCACACAAACCTGTTGGGGTTTTTTTTCAGTTTCCTTTTACTCATATATTTGGCAAGACTGATGTGCTGTCAAATGATCTTTTCAGTGCTAAATATACACCATTAACTACTAATAAAAAAACAGGCTTTAAAAATGCAGCTCTTTTTGGCATCTGTACAGAGCATTCAACTTGATCTCACAAGATGTATGGTTTGCACTAGGACTGCAGTCACAGTTTTCTTGTTAAAGCTGTCAACCACTCGAGTATCTATCTTTACAATGCAATTCAAACCTTGGTTATGAAAACAGGCATTTTTACTTGATCTCGGATTTGAAGATCATTTGCTAGCCCTTTTCTGCATGCATTTGCAGGGTACAGCTCCTATTAGAACCCGGTTGCAACATGAAAACAAGGGAGGGAAGAAGCTGATCCCTTCTATTAGAGATAGTTCCTCCCAGTGGCAGAGATAGTGTGAACAATAAATGCTTCCTTAAACTGCTGATTTTCAGAAAAAACATTGTGTTAGAACAACTTACAAGGCAAAACTTCACAGTCTTATGTCATTAGAGTTAAAAAGGTAACTTCAGGACAGAACCTTGCCTTTTGACTCTTAAAACCAGCAGAGAAATTCTGAATGTCAGATTTGCCATAGCATTGCATTGGTGTCTGACTGGACTCACTAGCAGGTACTTGCTAATGACATGGGAAAGACAGAATTAAGTTTACGTTTGTCTTGTGAAAACTGATCATCTTCTAAAGACAAACCTCTAGCGCATTTTTGACAAGGCCCTGTAAATCTTCAGCTGATATTGGTACAGTGAACTTAAACGTAGTGATACAAAGCAAAGGGAAAACTCAGGTAAGAGATAAACATATGTCTCCTAATGCCCAGGCACAATGGGGAGCCCCCTTATCTGCTCCCATAATGCGCCTTATTATGCTTAAGTAATGGGTATTAGAAGCCAAGCAGTATGTTACATCTCCTCCTACATGGTACATTCCCATACTGCCTAGATACATATGAATCCCGCATGTCACATGTCATTACGTTTTCTGAAACTATCTCCATCCATGCTAAAAATACACAAAGAGAGAGAGAACTTGAATGTAAGCAACAGATACTTCTGCATAGACCCTTGGCAGTACCAAAGATGGGGAGATTCACACATGTTATTATTCGTCACTGTTTGAAGAGCCTTTGTGAGGAAGATAACCAACCCCAGGAGGCTCACAGCAGGAACCCAATAGGTGCTCACACATATCCACTCTCAAGCTGGCTGAGCCAGCTTCCAAACAAGGCCCTCTGCACCTGTCTTCTCATCTGCATGGTGCCCTGATCTTTTTCTGAAATGCTTGGTTACAGAGCTGTTCCCATAAATATAACTCCAGAGCTCTCCATAAATAATCTCATTTGGAAACAACAAGCAGTGAGCAAACCTGTGCATCTGTGAACCTACTGCTGGACACTCCTTTGCTCTGGAACGCAGAGCCCTGAGCTGCTGTGGAGTTGAACCACCTTCTGGCAGCTCCTGCCCTGCTGCCCCTCACAGCAAGGAGCAGGGTGGCCCCTGAGACCATGCTGTGGCAGGGATTCAATGCAGACCTTTTGGACTAGCCTGCTTTCCCCCTCCCTGAACACCCAGGAAAATCCTCAGTGATGCTTTTTGAGGCCTAAATACTCACTCCAGCAGCTTCAGAGCTGGGTTCTGTCTCACCTGTGAGAGACAGGGGAGGAGCAGCCATTCCCTGGTGACTTGTGTCAGGCAGAACATGCGCACGTTGATACCCCGGTGTCCCAGGCTTTCTCACTTCTGTGCAAGCAGCCGAATGGGCAGACCCCTCCTGCTCAGCTGCGGCAGATGGAGCAGGGAGGCAGGCTGCGTGTCTGTGGGGCTAGGCAGCAGAGCTGTGCTCTCCAGCTCCAACTAATGAAGCTGATTTGATGAGCTGATTATTCTTGTGTATTAGTGCGTTGCTGACATGGTGCTCCACACTGTACCGGATGCTGGAGGAAGGGCACAACACAGACCCCTGACCAAGCCTTCCACCTGAGTGAGTGTACCGCTCAAACCCAAAAAACAGGGTTCTGAATAAGCAGAAGGAGACGGAGCCCCTCTTTATAACAGAGCACTGCTGCTTTCTAAGCTGGAATGTAGCAGCATTCCTAATTTAGATACTCTGGTTGAATTTTAAGTGGAAGCGAACAAAACATTTGAAAAGCTGTCCCCGTTCTCTCAGCAGGGAGACATCGAGAATTTTCTGGTTTTGGGAAAGGAATACTGGCATGAAATCAGCCAGGCTTTTCCCAGGTAGAGATGTGAGCCCTGGAAGCAAACACGGGCTTT